GCCACAAGCTCACTTACCCATTTTATGACAGTGTTCGCGGAATTCCATGCAATATCGTTTGTGCCAATAACGAATGTGACACTGTTAGCTTGTGCTAGAAGATATTTAAGCTGGCCGCTGGTAATTTGTTGGATATAATCACGTATACCAAAACCGGAGTTGGATTTTATTCGAATGTTGACCGTGTTGTTGTTAAATTGGGGTAGTCGAAATCGTGACATTGTTGAGTCTGATAATATGACATGAGTTGGTTTAGTGGTTGGTGTTGTTGCCGTGTTCTGCTGTTGGTGCTGCTGTGACCTGGTACCGTGTCTGCTTGGATCCGTGTGTGGTGGGGCGACATATTGTTGGATATTGTTTGGTTGCGCGTATGGTTTGGTTTGCCTGGGGTTTGGAATTGTGCGTCGTGGTTGTATTTGCGGAGCTGGACGTCGTTGCGGGTTTGGGTACTGCTGCTCGGTGTCTGTCGGGTTCGGAATTGGGTAGTGGTTGCCTTGGTTGGTATCTAAAAACAGATCAAATCGGTTACTTGTCGGTAAGTACTTACCTTGTTCCTGTCGTGTCTGTTGATCCGGCCATTCCCATCCTAGTACCAAATCCATAAGTGGCACTTTCGCGGTTGATGACATTAGTGACCTTACTTTGGGTTGTCGGAGTGGGACAGATGGTGGTGGTGGTGGTATGTAGCTGCCGATGTTTGTGTACGAGTTGAAATTGGACGTGGTGCCGTTCTGAAATCTCGTTTTTTTACCTTTGTTACCCGTGGGTTTTTGTTCGACTGTTGGTGACGATGTGTGACTTTTTGCGGGTAGCATCCATGGTGGCGGTTTTTGAGTTTTAGTGGTGGTCGTGTGCACCTTTTGCTGGTGTACTGATGTCCTGGCTGGGGCTGTCGGAGCTGATGTCATTGCGTTAGTTGTGACTATCGGTTGGATATTGCCAGTTGTACGTGGTGGCAGAGCTATAATGGACGCTAGTGTGATAGTTGATTCAGTGACGCCGCGTGGTGGTGATACGTTTGTTGACACTGATGGTGGTGATATGTTTGTTGGTACCCGTGGTGGCGATACGTTGGTTGGCACTAGTGGTACTGGTAACTTTAGTATGGCCGGTGATGATGCGACGGACGGGCCGAAATGACGAAGTGACGGTGGTGGTGAAGTTGGAAGCGGTGTGCCTGTACGCGGCCGTTTTGCTACCGGGAATGTCGGTATTTCTTCTAAGTTGCCAATTGTTTGGCGGATTCGACGCAGGATTTGTGGCTTACGAGATCCTTGTTGTTTGTATTGCATTTGACGATTGGTTCGTGGTGACGGAGGTGACACAGGGGCTTGTGAAACTATGTGGATAAAAACTGGGCGCGATGGTGTGGCGTGCAGGACTGTTGTTGATGGTTGAACGGTTCGAGATGGAGTCGTTGGTTCCTGGTTGTCTCTTGTATCGATCGATGCATCGATTACTGCTGTGATTTCGAGATCCGATGTTGACGTTGACTGGTTGTTTTGAGGCGGTGTTCGTTGCTGTGTTTGAGGTGTGTTTTGTAGCTGCCCTTGTTCCAGTGTGTCAAGTAGCTGATGGTCGTTGTTATTTTTCTGTTGATCCATTGAATATCTTCGATTTATCGGAGCACAATAAATGGTTATTGCTCCAGAAAGTGTGAAGGTGTTTGACAAATAATGATAAATCGAAGAAGAAGAAATTAAAGCGGAAAAAGACAATAAAGAAAAAGTAAAGACTTACCCAATTTGGTGAGAATTGGTTTTTATTGATTTTTGATTTTTTTGTGTACTAAGAGAAGTACAGCAGATGAAATAAAGCGCAAAGGGTGAAAAGAGAATAGAAACGATACGGACGTTGGTTGAATAAATGCTTGATTAAATAATAAAATGCTTTTTTGTTTGTATTTTGTGTTTGTTTTATTAAAAAAATATATATGGTTAAAAAATGACGATAAATGTTGAATGAATAAATGAAAAAATTGAATATACGAGAATTTATACGCGTTTCGAATATCTTCTTCAGTAAATGCTCGTTTGTAGAATGATGGTTGATAGACAGAAAAGTGGCTGTTTATATAGGAATTTGTTCATGCAGACGGAAAAATAAGAGAGGAGTGAAATGTTTTAGTTTCGATTGTTTATTGAAAGAGAGAGTGAAAATTTTGTGAAATCCTTTATTAGAAGTGAAAATTTTTGTTCAAAGAGAAATGGAAATTTTGTAAGAATTTGCTGAATTTTAGGCTGAAATGTTTTGGAGTGCTTTTGTTTGGATAGGAAGAAAAAGGGTTCTTTATTATTTCGATCAGTATATAAACCTGATGATATTTTACTTTTTGACGAGCAGATGCATCTGTAGAGATTTGAACGTAGAAACATGCATTTGTAAAAAAAATAAAATTTAAGTTTAAATTTAAACGTGAAAAACATGCTGGAGTATTACGGGTAAGTCGGTTTTCTTGGAAAATGAACTTTCAGTTGTGCTACGTATGAAATAATTAATTTACATTTTTTGTAGGGGGTCCAATTTTGATCACGCAAGAAAATATTCTATGTTTTTGGGAGGGTCCTTTTTGATCACGCATCTGATCACGTAGTCATATATGCACCCCATACTGTTTACATATCACGTAGTCAGTGAGGGGGGGTATACATATATTACGTCGTCATACATATGCCGCTTGGATTTGAGAAAGAAATTAAAAATTGAGACGTTTTGTTTCATGTGGTATTAGGAGAGAGATCATTTTCCGGTGTAAACGCGAGGAAAGGAGGAAAAAGATAGCTTTTTCTACCTTTCTTTCTATGATGTGAGGAAACAAAAGAAGAAGGAAAGCGTTTTCACGTCTTCCTTTTTCTTTATACTTAAAAACACATACTTCTGCTAATAGTTTTTGGATTTGTCAGAATGTTAAAGATGCGAGTGAGGATGTTTATAATGTCACTAGTAGTGCCAATAGCTTTTGTTTTTATGTCTTTTTGATCATACTTGTTATTGTATTTCGTCCGATGCATTGTATCACTAAAAATGGAAGCAAAAAACCGGCAGTACCTATATAGAAATTACTATCAGATTTTATCTAGCGATGGTTTTAGGATATTTTTTAAAAGTTTCTGGGGGTGGTTTTAAGATACTTTTTGAAGGTTTCTTTCGGATTAGCATTTGGGTAAGATTTTCGGTTAGGCGGTTGGCAAAAATAGGATGAATATCGGTAAGGGGAGTGTTTTCAAATGTCTCGGTCCACATTTGGTAAAATTTGGGGCCAAAGCGTGAAATGGAAGGCACGTATGAAAAATGGATAAGGAGCTCTTTTTGCGGATTAATTTGCTTGCGTGGTAGTCGGCTACTCGTCCAGTTTAGGTCTCTAACGTTAGTACGGCAGTAATCGTATTTGCTTTGGTTCTCAAAAAGGCTAAAGATATCCGCTTACGTAAC